TGCTATAACCAATTAATCATCTTTATTCACTCTAAGATAGTACTTAGTTGACAAAGTAAAACTCCTTTTTGCTAAATTGTAGAGATAAGGTGATCTACTCTTTACAAGTTTTAAAAAAGCAGCTTATGATCTTCCATGGTTTTGGTGGGAATTTCTCAATGTAAACTTTTAGCTGTTGGGATTGTTGCCTCCACATTGATGGAATTAGCCAGGGTCAGATTGAATCCCATCTTCATTAATTCTCTTATAAACCAATTCAAGTTTCAAATTCAAATCATTAGAACAAGATAGTAACGTGTTTCTAAGAGGAGAAGGGAGAGAGGATATTTGATAAAGGTGTAAATGCAAATCAAAAACTGTTCCTTACATTGATGACTCTCATATGTAGTTGATAACACTAAGGACAATTTGGATGTTTGTGATTGTCATTTCACAGAACTGTTGCTATTATTGTTTACAACATGGTCCACTTAGCTTGGATATACATCATGTTCCACACCATATTTGTACAAAATTGGATGGCCGGATTGTGTGGATGATTCCATGTTTGACCCACCAGCAGTTAAAGAAATAGACTATCTCTATTCGAAAGTTAGATCAGGGGGGTAGGTGTAGCTAGCCATGTGAAAATAAGCACTTAATAATGCCCCTCAGCTATGCTATCTCCATCATTTTCCTATATTATATTGTGTTTAATCTGCGGTAACCTTGATTTCTTACCAAAGAGATCTCACAGATGGGGTCTACGGATTTGTAGGCCAAATCAAACTGATGTATACAATTAAGGACCATGCTAATCATATTCGCACTTAATTTTCCTAGAATCAAGATGTAGAGTAACGGAAACTCAATGTTTTGACAGTTAATTACCACAGAAATCTTGGATTACTAGCAGAGGATGAGGATGAGATAGCTGGGGTGACATTTTGTGTCACACAGTCCTCTTTCTTTTTTTCTTTTTTTTTTCTGGCAGAAGTGTCACACAGTTCTTGACGACAGAATGTGACATTTGGTGGGGTTTTGCCACGTGTTGCAGTTCAGCTCTGCTGTCCATTTTCTTGTGTTAGCCTGCCTTTATCCCCCTCCCTATTTTTTTTTTTTAACCATTAGAAGAATTGGGAACCTATGATGTTGCTTCTTATTTAAGAAACACTTAAAAACATGGCTAGAAAGGGATTCATGAAAAATCGGGCAGCTATCATTTTTTATGATTTCAGCTCAAGTGAAAAAATGAAGCAAGAAGTGGACATCACTCTTTAAGATCTTATAATTATAAAAGTAAGGTTGTTTTGTCCACATTCATGTTTAAAAATTAAGGTTAGATCTTTTGTGATCTTAGACCATTGTCTTTTTTTGTTCATGGACAAAGATTCAAATCCACCATCAATCATTTCTCTTACTTAGTGCATTGTAATGATAAGACACTAAAAAATGTTGAGCTATCATTCTATGTGGTGCTGAAGAGAGAAGGTGAAGAAATAATCAAATAAAGCAAGAAGTGGTCTTCTATCTTAAGTTCTTATAATTATCAACTGCTAGTCTTCTATCTTGTTCTAATCTGCCATCATTAGTTTTGAACTTAATAATCTAAAACAGGTGGGACAAAAAGAAATTAGCAGTAAATATTTAAGTTTTTTTTTTTAAAAAAAAATGTGTTAAAATCATGCTCATTTATTTTAAATTTCATCATGTCTCTAGTAGTAGGAAGACAATGATTTGGTATAATAAAACTGATATTGTAATCTAATTCATATACTTTCAATCAGAACCTCCACTTCTTTGCCCCTGATTTTCTGCACTTTACAAGTTACAAAACTCTTTCATCCATCACTAATATTACGGTTTTTAAAGAAGAAAATTGTTTTTCTTCAAGTTAATTTAAACTACAGCAGGTAAAACGAGATCCCAGAAAAAATAATCTGAACCAATCCAGTTATAGTCCAGCAATTTGTTTGTAGAATTTCCCTTTGGGAAGCAACTATACAATCAGTTACATTACTTCTGCCATTCAATAAAAGCCTGCTGGCTACCGACCGGACAAAATCTGGAAAACCAGAATGTTTAATTTGGAATTTCTAAACTCAAGCCATTAACATGTGTTAAGACTTCAACCTATCAGCCCAAAAGATGAAGATGGGGGGATCTCTCCTTCCCACCGTAAGAATGTGACGTCATTCACCATAAAGTAGCCTGTTTCTGTTTCCCTCTGAATACATACTTTTATCAGATTGAAAGATAGGCGACACGCAACGGTTTCGTTCTTATTTGCACAGAAAACTGCAGGTCACGGTTTAAGGGTTCTTGCAATTCCAACACCATACAGCAAACAACAAGATGCTCCCACAACACAACTTTATGCCAGTTCAATCAAATACTAATAGAAAATTCTCTCTCATGTCGCAAAGCTATTTAAATGTTGCATACTTGGACAGGACCCATAAATTACATGCTCCATTACAGGTCCTTTAACCGATACATGTAAAGAATAGACAATCGATATTGGCAAGATCATTTTCGAAAAACATTCCCTACTTACTCTCAATGTAAGATTTGACAGTACCCATCCACCTAATGAACTCAGTTTTACCTTTGTTTCTTATGTATTCATGCAAGAAAATTGCCATTTCATCATTGATACCTCTTGCCTCCAAGAATTCATAAAGTGTATCTTGCAACTCATCATCCAATTCCCTGCGAACAATAAACCACAACCTTCTATCAAAGGACCAAACACCAGAATCAAATCACTGGCAAGGAAAAGAGAAGCAAAGAAAATATACTGCTATTTGAATAATAAAGTTGTTACTATCTGGTTGTTGGTATGGTTTTCTTTTCTTTTTCAAAATAGAAAAAGAAAAGGTAGGTAAACTCAACAAACCAAGAAAATCATATTAGGTTCATTAAAGCATTTTCTTTATCAACTTCAGGTTTCTTAACTTTTTGATGTTCTTTCTTTTCTCTAAGTTCTAAGAAACCAAATGGGCATGACAAAGCAGGTTAATGAATTATCATACTTGAATTCAGGACCATCATAAACTTGATGTGAGGTCTTGTTCCTCCTGCGTATGAAAAGCTTTGTAATTTCTATGCTATCTGGCCAAGCTGAACACAAAATCTCTAAGACATCACCATCACCCTTTGAGATATTAATAATCAAAGTAATATGAAGCAGCATGTCTTCCTTTATGCCAGGCACATCAGATTTTGGAATTGGAACAGCTCCATCAAACATGGTTGCTTCGACCTTAATCTCTTCGTTCTCCCTGAACTTTCTTCTCAATCTAATCCATTGCTCCCCTGGTAGGTCATCAATCGTGAAGGACTCGTATTTGGTAGGAGGCTGTAAATTGAAATCTTAAAATCAGATGCTAAGCTAGTGTTTGATTTCATTTTGCAAACCTATAAATACTTAAGACTTATTAAACAGTAAAGAACACATTATGGACATGCTTGGTTAAAATGTGGATTGGAAATGGAAAGCGAGTAGGATCCTCACTGCGATTCCAAATGGGATTCGCATTTTACTCTCGTTGGAAACAGAATCTAATTGTATAGATTCGATAATACACCAAAAAAAAGAAGTAATTATTTCATTCGAAATTAGCATTAGGCAACTATTATTCAAATACATTGATAGGATAGTAAATTAATTATTAAGTACAATATAATAGAGTACAAGCTTAATTGAAAGGATTCCAAAAATTTATTTTTTTGGTCAAGTAAAAACACAACAAAAATTGATTGGCCTTTATTCTTCCCAATGGCGCTTATTTTTTTACATAATTCCATCAACAGATTCGAGAAAAAACTTCCATGTTAAATTCTCAAGCAATTTTCGAAACAAAAATGTATTTGTATCATGCCAGTGAATTATTATTAAGACTTCAGCTAAGCCAGTCATCAATAACCTGATTAGCTAATAGTTTTCCTGTAAACCCATTTTCCAAATCCAAATCCTCACCCTAAATCACACCTTTTTTCCCGCTAACGAGTGCCAAAAACTCAAAAAAATAAAATATAACTTTCAATCTCATATAGGCTCAAAAAGAGAGACACGCATATAAAAACACAAAGAGAGATAGTAATTAAGCATTGAAATGAAATAGAAGCAAATAAGAAAGAGCAGTACTTGTTTAGGAGCGGAACGATCGAGCTCATACTGGATTTCATTACGAACGAGCCTGAGAAGGTTATCTTTGAAAGCAGATTTTCGCATTTCTGACATGTAATTTCTTCTTATTGAGTTATGGGTTTGAGAGATAAGAAAAGGGTTTATTTCTTCTCCCATTTTGTTGTCGTAAAGAAGATGAGAGATGGGGTTTTGTAGAGGAATTAGGGTTTGGGGAGGATTGATCAGGGCTTTTCTCAGAGGTCGAATTAAGCGTACCACTGCCATGTCTGCTGGCAGAGAAGGGTGAACAAGTTTTTGGTAGGGTTTAAGGAACAAGAAGTGGAATCGATGCCTCATGGGTTTAAGGGTAATAAAAATAAAAATTGGTGGGTGTGGTTTTTGACGTTTGTGTGTAGTGGGTTTGGGCCTGGTTTTGACATGGAATGGAGCTTGGGTTTGATCTTCCTTCGTTCCGTCTTAGCTAAATAGAAAATGGGCTAGGAACAATTTAATTTTGAATTAAAAAGTTCAATTCATTACCAAATTTCCCTGCCATGCTAATTTCAATTCTTGAAGATAGAAAATGAAGACTGAAAGCTTTCAAGAGATTCGTTAACTTCATACGGATATTGAAGGTATCTGAAAGTTTTTTTTGTTTGTGTGGTGAGCCATGTACAAGGTGTTTCTAGTAGAAGAAAAATGGCCAATTAAGAAATCATTTGGGAGAGTATGTTTGTCTGTGAAATTGAAGAATGAAGGAATAAGAAGTCAAAACTTCAACTGATCCGCGGAGTGACAATTTGAAACCATCCAGCTTTCTGCTGCAAAATTTGATACTTGTGGCATGCGGAACTTCAAATCCAACACATGAAAAGAAATAATTCTGGTGTGCAGAAACTTCTTCCTTTCAAACATTTGAATAAGTACTTCCAGCTGTACTGTTAGATGGTGAACCTATCTATACAAAGCTAGATTTTAAAGTTGAAACACCTGATAGATAGTTGGGCAAAGCGAGCTTGGTGTGTTAGGAGCATGCTTTGTCAAAAAATGAACTCTTCTACTTTCTACAGAATTTAGCAACAAGTCTTCTATCTCTTGGCATCCGGAGAATTTCCTTCATTTTGGATCTTTCCCTTCTGAGAAGAATCAGGAACTGGTGCTGGTTCTAGAGACTTCTGTATGCTAAGATGGTCTTTCCCCACTGATTTGCTCGATTCTGATATTCTGTTGCTAGCTTCAGTTGATGCGGGTTTTAATGCCTCGTTACTGTCTTCCTGGACCTGGGTTTTTTTTACACTGCCACCTGATCGTTTCCTTGATTCAACTGCAATTTCCTTAACAACCTCCTCTAGTTTACCTAGTTTCTCTTTCACTTCTAGGAGCTCTGACTCGGACTGAGCCTTCTCTTCAATAGCTTTTAGTTCCTCCTCTTTTGCTTTCTCCTCTTCTTCTTTCTTTTTCTTCTCTAGTTCCTGGGATGGTCAGAGAATCATCAAATTAAGACCCTAGATACAAAACAAGGGTATTGCTAAACTTCTGACCGATGCAAAAGAAAATTTGGATAACGTCAGTGATGTTATTAGATAACTAGAGTGATTGTGTCCATGGAAAAGAACTGTTTAAAAGCAATTTATGTTGCATTTAAGGCATCAATTTTCCCTCGGAGTGGTTAGTGAGACCACTGACAGGAGCTATCACAAGATAGTTGGTGTCATAGAGCAGCGAGCATGATGAGAGACCACATAATAAAGAAGCATTTTAAAAACTTCAAAGAACCCTGTTTTTATGCGGATAATCTAAACAAAATAACAATGAATTGAGATGAAGTACCAAGTTTTGTCTGCAATTATCAGATCAATTTACTATTTAATTATGATGTTAACTGTCCAACACTATAAATTATACATTAAAGATACTGACATTTGTGAGTCAAGCGCAAACATTATATTGCTAGAGGCTTGTTGGCCCTTAAATGTTTAGTATACCAACTATAAACAATAATGAAACGAATGTGTTATTTTCTGATCAACAACTAGAAACTATGATTTGTAGGAGACACCAATTTAATGCCTTGAGCATGAGGAGTTTTTCTTTCAAAGAATGCCTTTTGAGGATCCGACCGTACCATGATTGGCATGCAAACATAAGATTTCGAGACCACTAGAAAAGAGGAAAAAGGGAAAACAGTCTGGGAATAAAGAGAGGCGAAATGACATAGAATTTAATTATCATTATTGACAAGACAAGAACATTACCGCATCCATTTTTTTCATTTCATGTCGAGCGTATTGAGCCACCAAATATACAGCTGGTGCCAGAAAAAAAAGGACAGAAACGAATATGCATTCTTTTAGATAGCAACAACAAGACAGAGTAGGACACATTTAAATATGTATATGGCAATATGAAAAACATGTGAACTGATACCCAATGAAGGCAAGCAGGTGAAGAAGAGTTGTACCAGATGGAAATCAAGCCTGAACATAAAAGACATTAATGTAAGTACAGATCACCGAAAAAAATAAAATGAAGATGTCAGCAGGTTCGAGAAATATCATTGATCAGTGTATACGTACATTACACAAATAATCTCAAGAATTTCACTCAAATTGTCATAATAAACATTTCGAAATGCATTTCGAAAAAAAAGTCATTTGAAATGCAATTCTCCCTGATGGGTCTCCCAGGACCCAGAATTACCAGAAATTGATCTTATTCTGATGTCTTCTAGTGCATAACACTGATGTCTTGGTCCTTATCAAAATGACCACTCACTGTTCTACTGGTCATGCCATGTGCAAAATTAACTACACAAATTAACATCTTAAAGTTTCAAGTTTAGCAACCCATAAGAAAAGCGCAAGCCGATCACATGTTCGACAAAATACCTAAAAGAAACCCAATGAGCAACAGCCATCAAACTCCATGACCCAATTCACATAAATAAAAAGGCACGAGAAAGAAAGAAAAGTAGCAATACCCGAATTTCTTTTTCTTTGGAGGATCAGTGAAGACGATTTTAGCAGCTTTCATGAAGTCAAGATTGTCTAGCTGCCAATACACGTCATCGGATTTGCTCACATTTGATCCTGTTTTTTCACTGACGCTCTTGTTGCTGTTGTTGAGTTTGGTGGAGCTGTTGCAAAATTGCTTGCTTGGAGGAGCGAGCTTGATTCGAGCAAAAGTTTGTCTGGCGCGAAACATTGTTTTAAATTTTTGTTCTTGTCTAAAACATCATGAGATTCTGCGATGTTGGGTGGCATAAGATTTCACATTCAAGTTCATCCCAGACAATGTTTTGATGGGCAATCACAGAGCTTGGATTTTAGTACATGCCAAAGGAGCTTTCTTTTGGGCCTGGCAGATTTGAATGTGGCTGGCAAAACAAGATGCTTTTTTTTTTTTAATGTTATTCATTAACGCGATATTTCATGCATCGTAATGAAACACCACCCGCCGTCCTACATTGAGCAGGTTAATTTGAATAAATTAAAATAATATTTGTTTTTTTTTAAATGAAAATATTTAAAATCAGATCGTTCATATTAACTTTTATTATCTCACGATGGTTTTTCTATACCAAATTTAAATGCCTCTCTTAATTAAAATTTAAATAAGTTTTAAAATTCATGAAATTACTTTGGCAATTGTCTTGTAGCCTATATAATTCCCCGAAATACATTGTTGTGAGACTAAAGTTTTTTCTACACGTAAAAACAATAATGCCCTCTAAGAAGAAAAGTTTTTTTTTGTAATATTATTAAACTCAACTTGGTAAGTAAAATTTAAAATTTATTGATTATACTTTTTATTTAATCTAAATTTAAAATTAAATTATATAAAAATTATTATGATATTATCTGATTGATTTGATAGGTTAAAAAATACTTAGATAACTGATAAAAATATGATTTGATTTAAATAATATTTTTAAAATAATATTTTTTTAAAAAATTATTAAAAGGGTAATACATTAGATCAAAAGAATCAACATAGATTAATACACCAAACTTGGAATTTAGATCATGAATTTTTTTGAGTTAAATTATTTTATTTTTTCAAATTATTTTTACTTAATTATATAATAAAAAATTAATACTTGCAAAATCGATTACCATCCCAATACCTAATTTTTTTTTAAATTAAGGTAACCCCATAAAAAAATTAAAAAAATAAATAATAAGTAATCATGATTTTTATAGAATGAGATTTATTAATAATATGATAAAAAAAACTGATACTCAAGAAACTAAGTATTAGCCTAATATTAGCATATTTTTTTAATTATGATAACCTTATAAAAAATATATCAAATTAAATTCAAGATAATTGTATTTTTTAAGAATTAATTTTTTTATTTAATAATATGATAAATCATTTTCTATTTAATAGTATAATAAAAAACAATAGATAATTATAAAGTTGAATTACAATTCAAAATATTCAATGTAAGGGTGTTCTTTCTCTTATTAAAAATAACTAAAATAAATAAAGTTAGATCTAATGCTTAAATATGAAAATTAAAAAAAAAATTGTTACTGTTAGAGCTGCCTGTAACATGTGTGGAGGAGGGAAACAGTGAATTCCCTTCCTCGATTGGTTCTTTTTAATTAATTAATTAATTAATTAATATGACATATATGGTTTATTCCAAGCAGTACGTAAAGCATATTCTGTGCGACATTTATGAGTTGAGAATTTTATTAGATAAAATCAAAGTCATACGCTTGATTTTATGAAGTTTTTAGACGCAAAGAATTTTATAAAATGATCTCAATCCACATATTTATCATAAAAATGTCATTGTTAATGGAACTATAGTTTTATAATAATTGTATAGTTAGTAGTTTTATTTTAATAAATAAAGGTTTGAGAGCTAATAATCATAGTTTATTTGTTATAATTACGTATAATTAAGAGGATGATTGAGTCCAATACCTGTTGGAATTTTCACTGAATCTAATTAAAAAATAAAAAGGTACGTCCTCTTAATTAGAGATATATGGATGAACTTTCCATTGATATATATATATCATCAAGCTCGGAGCTTCCACTTGATTTAACGATTTATAATTTCTTGGTATTAAAATTATATCGTATTGCCTTGAATTATATATATAGTTTTGTTCGTAGCTTCCACATTGTTATTCCCGAGAATACTATTAAATGAAATATCTATTTTACCAAGTATAATTTTAGGTTATTGTAAAAAAAAAAAGACGAAAATTAACATAGACAAAGGGCACAGCCTTTTCTGTTTACACCGTTCAAAAAATGAGGAGAATTTCAATTTATTCCCTCAATTTTTCATTTCTGCATATTCAGTCCTTCTTCTATTAGAATTTTAAGTTTTGCTCCTAATTAATCTTCATTTTATTCATATTTCAGTTTATTTTTTTTAATATTTCATAGTTTTATTCTTTTTTATTTGATTTTCAATTAATGTCCTCTCTAAATATTCTCTCTTGTGTATCAAATTGTTTACTTTGACTATTTTTAAAACGTTAATAAGTTGAGATTAATTTTATAATTTTATAATGTATTCAAGAGATTTTTGTAATTTATCTGTAATAATTTTTCTTGTTAAATTTAAGACATTTTTTTTATTTTCACTATGCACTATTTATAAGAACAAAAATCACATGTACTTAGCAATCATAGTAAATCTCCAAAATAAATAAAATAAAATGTATAAAATGAAAGTGATATTCAATGCAAAATATTTTTATTTGTATTTTGTTTTCAACTTCTTAATTGGAAAATTAACTTTCCATGCTAGTGTTTAGTCACCTTTCACAATTTTTTTATTTATCAACTAGCATATTTTTGAATTTATTATATATATTGAACATATACATCATCATCTTTCCATTTATTAATTAACAAATTTTATCATATATATATATATATATATATATATATATATATATATATAAACACATGTATAACACGGATTCCTTCTTCCATTACATTTGAAATTAACTTAAAACTCTGCATGGTGGATGCATTGGCCAGTGTTAACCGAGACCAGGTCAAGCGTTTGAGAAAAGCGGGTCCCAAGTTGGTCCACCAACCTACCAACCCAGACTGGAAGTTTGAACCAAACTGCTAGCTAGTGCCAGCGGTGGCTAGCCTGAACTATTCCAAGCCCCCAGCCTCTTTAATATAAAATCAATACACTTGGACGGCCATTAAAATGGCGTCGCTGCCGTCCATGGCATCCTTGCCTTCGAAGGGAAAATTAACACCACGATATATCCATAGCAATTTTGGCTTTCTCAGGGACCAGACCAAGGAAGACAGGGAGTTTCCTTAATCACATAATGTACAAGAGCACCAGCCACCGTATGTCTAAAGATTACTCCTTTGCATAACAAGAAGATGGAATTGCCGATATTCTTGCTCGAGCAAAACCTAGAAACCCTAGCTGCTTTTTCATGGTTGATGTGCCACAACACGTTCCTCGTCTCCGGCACACCTAACCTGGTCGACTGTCAATTGTCGTCCCTATTCCACCATACAAAAGTGTTTTTTAAAAAAAAACAAATTCAAGCCTGGCTCGTAAGGTGCACGATAAATTAATTATCAGGACTGCAAGAATTTCTCCCATAACCTGGATCAACTATAAATTATTCGCTTATTGATTTTTTTAACTCCAGGTGATTAAATTAAAATGCCCTTGATTGTGATTCATGATTACTTATTTAGATCATCAAAATGAGTTATGAGTTATAGATGACATAGGACAATTGGCACCTGCTTTGCTAATTTATATATATATATATATATTGGCGTTGCTAATATATTTTATATCCGTAAATAAAATTTTGATTATAAACTCTAAATTTAATATTTTTTAAAAAAATTAAAATAACAATATTTTCAAGTAATTTAAGCTAACTTGTTAAATCTATAATAAATGCATCTAACAAGACTTAACAACATTGTTTTTATAAAATAATTTTTATTTAATTATATAAAAATTTATTTAATTATATAAAAATAAAAATAAAAGATATCATAAAAACCAATCTAATAAAATTTAAAAATAATAATAACGGGCTATAAAAATGATTGTGATTCATGATTACTTATTTAGATGATCAAAATGAGTTGAGTTATGAGTTATAGATGACATAGGACAATTGGCACCTGCTTTGCTAATTTTATATATATATATATATATTGGCATTGATAATATATTTTATATTGGCAAATAAAATTTAGATTATAAATTCTAAATTTAATATTTAAAAAAAATTAAAATAACAACATTTTCAAGTAATTTAAGCTAACTTGTTAAATCTATAATGGGTGATGCATCTAACAAGACTTAACAACATTATTTTTATAAAATAATTTTTATTTAATTATATAAAAAAAGTAAAAGACACCGGGAACACCAATCAAATAAATTTTAAAAATAATAATAATGGGATATAAAAAAAAACTTGATAAGATTATAAAAAGAGAGTTATACTTTTATTTGAAAATAAAGTAAAAATTAAATGATATTTAATAAAATAATAGCTAAATTATATTCTTAATTAATTTAATATATTTATAATATGTTAAATTAATTATTTTAAAAAATATTATAAATTGAAAAATAAACCAAAAATATTAAAACTTAAGACAAGACAAGTGTACGGGCTTGACCTCCGAATCACTAAAAAAATAAAAATTATCCAAGAAATTTTTTTTTCAAAACTGTCCTCAATGTACCTTTTCTCCATTGTGTGTACAATGAAAAACCACATTATTGAACTTCTCTGGTTGAATATAAACCATTGACATAAATTTTTTTTTTTTTTTTTGAGCCGGCGGGCAAAGAATAATTTTCTCACTTTAAACTTTGTCCTTATTACTATAATAAAAAACTTTATCTCATAGAATTTTATGAAAAGATTAAAAAGAAAAAAAAAGTCATAGGACAAAATTTAAAGAACAAAATGAAAATGAAAAAATAGAAGGGCCCAGAATTTTATTTCTATGTTGCAAAAATATTTTCAAAAATATTTAATTTTTTATTTTTTATTTATTTCAAATTAATATGTTTTAGTATTTTTAAATTATTTTGATATATTAATATCAAAAATAATTTTTTAAAAATATATTATTTATATATTTTAATATAAAAATTATTTAAAAAATAACAACTTAAAACAAAAATAATTTTTTAAAAATATATTATTTATATATTTTAATATATAAATTATTTAAAAAATAACAACTGAAAAAAAAACTTTAAACCCAACCCAACCCTAGTTGACTAAAACAAAACCATAGAAATGGAGAGCTTATTCTACGATCATCTACCATCTCATGGTCTCTCTCTTGCCCGTGATCCTGGCGGCAATCTAGTTATTAATCATGATTATTCTAAATTGATCACCATCTAATTAGGTCCCACTTTCATCCTGTTCACCTACTAATTAATAATACCATGATGTTCCTTTTCCCTTAGAAACACTAATCCCAGATCATAATATATAATATGATAACCCTCCCCACCAAGCACCATAATGAGTAAACGTTACTTTCTCCCGATTTATTTTTATTTTTTTTCGAATTCCTGAACACAGCTCACAGTTATGTAACCAACACGGATTTCTTTTGAATTTCTTAAACAATCATTGTGTTTTAAATAAGTTTTTTACATTCTGCTTATTGCATTTATAAGTTTTTTTCTGCTGTTCAAACCTAAGATCACGTACACGCTCTTTATCTCATTTTTGTTTTTTCTATACAAATCTTAATTGTCTCGTTTTATTTGATTGTTTTAAGAATTAAACATTTTCAGATAATAAATTTACAATTCAAGAATGTAAAAATAAAGAGAGCCTAATTATCAACCCACAAATATTCAAATACAGCGCGGCACTAAATGCCGCCTGAAGGTGCCCATAAAATGGAAGATTCTCATTCTTCTCTTTACCAGCTCTCAAAACCCAAAAGGAAAGGGAAATTCTCATTCTTCTCTTTACCAGCTCTCAAACCCAAAAGGAAAGGGAAAAAAATCATATTTTTAAAATTTCATCAACCTCTCTTGAGATTTGGTGGGCAGTGAGCGAGTGAGCGAGCGAGTTCAATTTTATTGAAACAGATAACTAGTTGTTGAAAAAGACATGATTATACATCATGTCACATCCATATAATGTTGTCACGGTTTAGTTTTTTCTTAGTACCTTATGGTAATTAGAGCAGTGTGCCTAATGAGAAGAGAGGGGAAAGAAGAAGATGTGGTGTAGAAAGAATTTGAGCTGTACTGATACAGGATCTGTGCCAGTGTACCTTAATGTTTATGATCTGACACCAATCAATGGATATGCTTATTGGCTTGGACTTGGAGTTTATCATTCTGGGGTTCAAGGTTTGTACTGTTTAGAAGACTACTGGTTTTGGCATCTATTTTTTCAATCTTTGTCAAGTTGCATGCTTTTCAAGCTTTCTTTTATTCTTGAATAAGTTACATTGCTAGTTAGATCTGTTTGTGTGTTTTGTTCTGTTGTCTGGATTGTTTGCTGCTTATTGGTGCATTGAATCTTCAACGAAAAGCAGTGTTCTTTGAAGTTCAATCTTTTTGAATGTTTGATATATTGCTTTAGGAGCTGATTGTTTGGTTGACGAGAATCTGCAAGAAATTTTAAATTCAGAAATTTGGGTTTTCCTTTCTGGAATCATACAAACAAGAAACTTCCAAGTTTTGGCACAGTGAGGTTCTTTTCTTTTGGAAATGTTCAAAGATTCCTCCCTTCATTTCTACACTTTTCTCAATGGCTGAATAGCTTTTTCATGGCTTTTACTTTCCTTTTTTGGGTTTTTTCTTTTTTTCTTTTTAATGTTCTCAATCTGTTTATATTAAAAGAAAAATCTTGGTAAGATTAAAACCGGGATCATGTTATGCAGTTCATGGTGTTGAGTATGCTTTTGGGGCTCATGAGTTTCCTACAACTGGAATTTTTGAAGGAGAACCAAAACAGTGTGAGGGGTTTACATATAGAAAGACGATCTTGATTGGAAAAACAGATTTGGGTCCTGAACAAGTGAGGGGAGTTATGGAGGAGTTAGCAGAGGTATATAGAGGGAATGCTTATAATTTGATAACCAAGAACTGCAACCATTTCTGCAATGATGCATGCGTCAGGCTCACTGGTAATCCCATCCCAAGCTGGGTTAATCGGCTCGCTCGAATTGGTAAGAATTTAAACTTGTTTAATCCTGTTTTCAAGTTGTTCAATTTAGTTCTACTGTTAAATTAATTTTCTTGGATGAATACAAGAAATGGCTTTATTGACGTGAGACTGTAACGGTCATTTAGTGGGTGAAATGAAGTTGATGAAATGTGTCTCCATTCTCCACCGCGCAACTCAATTTCTTCAATCTAATGAATAATTGTGAATGAATTCTTACAAATGTATTGAAGTTTGTGATCAATATTCAGTTCTTTATTTTTAATATATGAGAACTCTGGTAATCTTCTACAACTCAAGCCTTGTTGAATGGTTTAGATGTGTAAAACTAGTCAAGAGATCAATACAGGATGAAACTAGTCAGTTTGTTGAGCAGATTCTTGTATATGGAGTGAAATTCCATATGTATTCTCGTAATGAAGTGTAGGATGATGTTTGCCAAGCTGTATTACACTCGACGGGGTGCTGTTGTCTAGAATTTTATTTGCTGTGGTTCTTATCCCTGATATTTTGCAGGCTTTCTATGCAATTGTGTTCTTCCTGCAAATTTAAATTCAACTAGAATTCAGCATCATAAAACTGAAGACAAAGCTTGTGAAGGAGAGGAGAAAAAATTGACAAGCGAGTCAAACAGATTCACATCTTCTAATTCTTCATCATCCTCATCATCACCACCTGCAGTTCGCGGTAGAAGTAGAAGCAGGCGTGCTCTTCAACCCTCCTCGCCCTTGATTCTCCGCGCTTCATCTCCTTGATGATCTTTAAGAACTGAATTTTTTTATTTCTTGAAATCGTTCAAAGAAAACGAGGGGAAGCAAAATCTTTAATCACAGTCCCCCCGCTTTCCTCATTCTTTTTTTGGGGTTTTGTGGTGCTAACATTTTGTTGAAGGGATTGTGCAGGCATGCAGCACATAGATGTAAATGTGTATGCTTTCAATTTTTTTGGCAAGCGATGTTACGTCTCTGCATTATTGTCGAAACCAACCTCGTTTTGTTTGGTTTTCTTGCAACCAGCAAGGCTTTGCTTTGGCAAATCTGTAGTATTGCCTGAGATATCAAATTAATCAAGAGAAAATGCTTGGTGCAAATTTTCACGATGGCCATTCTTGTGTTTCACCTGGACTCCTTTTTTTATTTATCAACAGTCGACTATTGAACTTGCAAATTTCTTTGGGAGGGGTGGTGGGGTTGGGGGGGGACACAGGGCTGATGTTAAAAAAAACCTAACCAACAGGCGATCTTTGGAAAGCATCTGAGCAAAGATAAGATATGATACCATTCGGTGAAAAGACTTAAAGATGTCTAAAGTAAAGTAAAAGTCACATGTCTTGAGCTCATGTCGAAGTTTCTCGTGAAATTTTGCAGTGCAGTCCTTGATCGGTAAAGGGCCTTGAGATGAGAGGCACTGATATATTCGCTTCGTCTATTTTTTATTTTTTATTTTTTTGAACAACAGTCTATTTGCTTTGTTAAAGTGAAGCTCCAACAAGCAAGAAAGTAAAACTTGGACTTCGAAGCCTTAAAAATTGAGAAAAGTCGAATGCAGCATAACTTTGCTTTTGTCTCTACTCTTGCTTCCCATGGAATACAATGTGGGGTTTCATCCTGCCACTATTTAGTTTGGTGTAACCTCTTTTGGCTCCACGTCATAAAGAAGGGGATCCCAAGTCATTTTATATTCGAGGGCTATGGCCATCACTTGTGTAACTCAAAATATTCTTTCCGCGAAGACTATTTGTTCATATTTCAAAGCATAAATATAACATGCAGTCTAACATTCTGGCCCGAGTGCTTTCAGGAGTCAGGGCTGCAGATTTCTTTATCAAAAACGAAATTGAGAAAGTTGTTCAGTCAGCTTCCCAACAACTACTCCACGTATATCTGATCTCATACTCGACGATTCTGCAGGGCGGAAAGGCCTTGAGCAATATGATATTGTTGCATGCTTTCTTCGTCATAAGCAATATGATATTGGTCGATCAGCTCACAAGTTCAAATACATCCAACTCTTGCATCAACAGCCACTTAAATTTCCGAGTGCAGGAATAGAATAAGGCTCTTCAAAGTTAATGGCAGCGTTCCAATTTTTCCAAAAGCAAGAAAAAGGTCAAAAAGAACCGGTCTGTTTTCCTTTCGCACTGTATTCGATCGTGTTTGAAGAACACCACGCTCTCAACCTCGAGAATTGGCAAGCAGGTAAAGTCTGCATCTTGTCAACCATGACCACAGACTACTGTCAAATCATGGTGATTAGAGCTCCGAATCCGCATCAATTGCATAGGGTAAAGGTAAGGGTGGTTATTGACCTTGAACAAAAACATTGTGGCACTGGCATTTCCAATTAGTCCCATGACTGTAAAAATGCAGGAGGTAGGAACTAGGTGGTGTATTTAGAAGTTAATTTATGTGCCTAGTATATACACAGTACCGATTTTGTCTCCGAGGAAGACTGCCAGAATGCCAGGCACAAGTTGTGTTAGGTTGGTTGTCATTTCATGTAAGACACCAACCATTTACCATTGACTATTAGTAGCCACC